GCCAGCTTTTGTTCTAAACTTTTTTGCAGTCTGCTGCAAACAGAAAAATAAACCATAAGTGCAGCACTTACACTATTTTTTTTTTTTTTTTTTTTTTTTTTTTTTTTTTTTGGTGCTGGGGATTGAACTAAGGACCTTGGGCATGCTAAGCCCCAGGCTCTACTACTGAGCTTATGCTCCAAACCTCTAGAATCATTTTGTTAATAAAAAACATTTATTTTTTATTTTATACAAAACAACCTAAAGTCTGCATAATGACTTGACAGTTACCCAGGGGTTTACAATGTGTCCATCTCAACAGCATGCTTCTGGGTCTTGGGGATCCACACAAACTAAGGCAGGACTGTCAGGAAAGAAGAGGCACAGCAGGAGTATATCTCAGTCCTTTCTCAAAAGTCAATAGCACATTCTGAGTCACTGGTGGAATCATATTCTTAGTGAATTTTTTGTGTATCACGATAATTATTTAGCTAGTTCCTTGCACTGAGGTAATGGTTATTCTGTCTATGCATGTTTTGGTACCCTGTCCAGTTCACATTGTCAAATATAATTTAAAAATGAAAACATTTTCATTATAAAAAGCAATGCCCACAGACCCTGGAAGGCTACACTGATTTGTTTTACTAGACCATTTTACAGAGTAAAATTGCCTCCACTGCTGTGCTTACAGGGGTGGAGGTGATAGAGTTAAATATAGTACTTTTTCAAATAGCTACTTTGATAAACTTATTGGGCAGGTTTCAGTTAGTTTACTATTAGAAGTAGTTTTTCAAAATTTTTCAACTTTTCCTTTATGTTTATGCTTGAGATTAGCCTAATTTTCTGTTGTTTTATAGCAGCCTTTTCTCAAGGTTACAAAAAGAAGTGTATTGCCAGTGAGATAGCTCAGTGGACTAAGTGCCTGCTTAGGCAAGCACAGGGACTTAGGCAAGTACAGGACCACAGGCTGTGCCAGCCCCACCCCTGGGGGTGCTGAGCCATCCACTGAGTCCAGGCATGGTGGCACATGCTTGTGATCCCAGCACTGGGGAGGCTGAAGACAGGAGGATTGCTATAAGTCCGAGCTGCATAGTGAGACCCTGTAACAACCAAATACATAAGAAAAAGAAGTGTATCTACCTTCTGCCACAGCAACCATTGAAGAACAGTAGCCATGTCCCTCCACTATCCCATGGCGTGGACCTCAACAAGGGCCACAAGGTGACTAAGAATGTGAGTAAACCAAGGCACAGCCACCATCATGGATGTCTCACCAAACATGCCAAGTTCATGTGAGACATGATCTGGGAGGTGTGCCCCCTACAAGTGGCATGCCATGGAGCTGCTCAAGGTCTCCAAGGACAAGCACACCCTCAAATTCATCAAGAAAAGGGTGGGGACGTACATCAACACCAAGAGCAAACATGAGAAGCTGAGCAACGTGCTGGCTGCCATGAGAAAGGCAGCTGCCAAAAAGGACTGAGCCCCTCGGGAATAAAGCTTTGCAGAAAGTTTAAAAAAAAAAAAAGTGTATCTAAAGTAATAATAATAAAAGAATAGTGGCTATAAGAACTATCATGCATATAAAGATATCTTTCTTTTTTTGAGAAATGCAAGTAAATACTTGTCTGATGGCCCTGATGGTTTATTAAATCATCAGGTTAAGAAAAATAAAACTATAAAATGCAGTTGTTTACTATAAGCAGTAGCAAGGTAACTAGGAAAAAATAATAGAAAAAAGACCACTAACATCATGCATGCTGTTTGGGAATATAGAATAGGACAGTTAGGATTTTATGAAGTGTTAGAGCAGGGAAAAGTCTGAAAAGTGGGATACTATCCGAAAAAGTCATATTTCGATCATTTACTAATAAAAGGCCTCTAGTTTCCCAAAACCAGCCAGAAATCACAAATCTTCTCTCATTCGGAAAAACAATGTATGCTCTTACTTGTGCTCAGAATATTACTTTTCACTAATTATCACTGTTTTTTCATTATTTTACTATCTCAGTTCAAATCAACATCAAATAAGAACGTGTCCGTAGTAGGATGGATGGTGATGATGGCTGATGACCCAGAACATCCAGACCTCTTCCTGCTGACCGATTCTGAAAAAGGTAAGTTGTCAGAATCCTTAGGGCTTATGATAGTGTGTATGCATGATTTCTGGTGAGCCTAATCCTAATGGAACTAGAATACTCACCAGAGGAAGTGTTTGTTTTGTATTATCTACTAGGACCTATTTTTGTGACATAATGTGTATTAATAAACCAGTTTTTAGAGCTTTATTTTAATACATTGGCATAAGATTGAAGATTAAAAGGCCAACTAAATGGGAAAGGGATAAGCAGGAAGGGAGAGAATTTGAGAATAGCCTATTGTTGCTTTAAAATCTCATAGGCAAAAAAAAAAAAAAAAAAAAAAAAAGAAAGAAAAAAAAAAAAAAAAAAAAAAAAAATCTCATAGGCTGCTCTTTCATCAGTTATGTAACTTGATACCACTTTCTACATTAAAATACTTTATATACAGTAGATAGATACTCTGGCGAATACACTAACCACCTGTTGACACAGTGGTCAGACTCCACAGTTTGTGAAGTTAATGAGAAAACTGCACTGTAAGGTCTTAAAAATCACATCCTGCCTATGACTGCAGGATCTATCAGAAAAGGTCCCTGTGGTTCTGCTCTTCTTAGTAACTACTAGCTATTGACAAGCTCCAAAGAGGCAAGAAAGGAGATTCTTTCATACTTCCACAGGATTCCCCACTGTAGCAACTTACAGGTATTTATTACATTTTGTTAACTTCACATTGTCTTTTGACCTCTGTTTATGTAGATGCTCATTTGATAAAGTCTTTGCCTACAACAGTATCTTCAAGAGTTTTACCTATTCTGTCTTCCAGCAGATTTGTTTCTGTTTTAATATTTAGATCTTTGATCCATTTCGAATTTAGTGCATGGTGAAAGATAGGGGTTCATTATTAATCTTTGGCATGTGCAGAGCCAGTTTACCCAAAACCAAAAAGACTATCTTTCTTCCAGTGTATGTGTCTGGCACCTTTGTCAAAGATAAGGTGGCTAAGTATGTCTGGAGTTATTTCTGTGGCTTCTAATCTGTTCCATTGATCTTTGGGTGTGATGTTTTTGCCAGTTCCATGCTATTCTTATCACAGTAGCTTTATAGTATAATTTCAAGTCAGGGATTGTAACGTACCCTCCCCTGCCTTTGTTGACCAGAATTGCCTCTGCTATTCTGGTCTCTTCTGGTTCCAATGAATGTTAACATTCTTTTCTCTAATTCTGTGAGATATGCTATTGGAATTTTAATCATAATTTTATTAAATCTGTTTGCCAGTTTTGAAAGTATGGCCACTATTATTGTATTGCTTCTTCCTACCCAAGAGCAAGGGATATCTTTCCACTTTCTGATATCCTCCTCAATCTCCTTTTTCAGAGTATTGTAGTTTTAAATGTAGAAGTCTTTTATATCCTTTGTTAGATTGATTCCTAGTTCTTTTTTTCTTTTTTTTTTTGGATGCTATTGTGAAAGGTATTGCTTCCCTAATTTCTCTTCAGGGGCTGGGGAGCTGGCTCAGTGGAATAAGTGCTTCCCTGGCAAGCGCAAGGGCCTGAGTTCAAACCCCGGTTCCACAAAAAAAAAATCCTTTGGGACCCTAATTTCTCTTCAAGAGTTCATTTTTCGTGTACAGGAAGGCTATTGATTTCCCTGTATTTAGGACAGGGTCTACAGGGTCTCACTACATAGATGAAACTAGTAGTGATTCTCCTGTTTTCAGCCTCCCAAGTGCTGGGATTACAGGGGTGCGCCACCACGCCCAGCCTAAATTGCCATCTCAGTGTGCCCCGTGGGCAGGGCTAGCATGGCACACCAGGGATTGAACCCCATCCGTTGCAATCTGCCTAAACAAGTGCTTTAGTCTGTTGAACTATCAGGCTGTCCCTTAGGGATACTGTTGATTTTTTGAGTGTTGACTTTCTGTCCAGTTAGACTACTGAATTTACTTAATAAATGTAGCAGGTTTTTTTAAGTGGAATTTTTAGGGTCCTCTATGTAGCATATCATATCAAATACTGATAATTTCTTCCTTTTCTATTGTTACTCCTTTTTATTTATTTCTCTTGACTAATTGCTCAGGCTAAAGCTTCCAGCATTATGTTGAATAATTGGAGACAGTGAACATCCTTGTCTTGTTCTAATTTTAGACAAAAAGCTTTCAATTTTTGGCCATTTAGTATGATGGTTTATCATAGATGGCTTTTATCAGATTCAGATAAAAATCATCTAGTCCAATTTTGAGTTTTTATCATGAATGGGCGATGGACTTTGTTAAAAGCTTTTTCTGCAGTTATTGAGATGATCATGTGATTTTTGTCCTTGACTCTGTTCATATGGTGTTACATTTATTATTTAGATATGTTGAACTATCTCTGCATCCCTGAATGCCACTTGGTCATGGTGTATAATCTTCTTGATAATTTGCTGCATTCTGTTTGCCAGTATCTTATTGAGGATTTTTGTATCTGTGTTCATTATGGAGATTGGCCTGCGGTTCTGTTTCTTTTTCTTTTTTTCTTTTTTTTTATTTATTTGTGTGTGTGTGTGTGTGTGTGTGTGTGGCCAGCTCAGCCCACCAAGGGGCGGGGCTGGCTGGCATGTGGTGCTGGGGGATTGAACCGTGGTCCCTTTGCTTTAAGCTTGTTCTAAGTAGGTGCTTTAGACCACTGAGCCATCTCACCAGCCCCTTATAAGGGTGGTTTTTTTTTGTTTTTTTCTTTTTTTTTGCTCCAAATGCCCTCAGGGGTGGTTTGGCTGGCTGGCTGGAGTGTTGTGGGGATCGAACTACAGCAACCTGAGGCTGACAGCTTTGTGGAAGCAGCCACTTAAACAACTGAGCTAAGGCCAGGCCCCCTCTGTTTCTTAATTAGGTCTTTCTCTGGTTTTGCTTAAATTACTGAATTTGGGACTATTGCTTCCCTTTCTATCTCACTAAAGACTTTGAGAAGTAGTAGTGTTAGGTCTTCTCTGGATTTCTTGTAGAATTGAGCAGTCAATTCATCAGAGCATGGACGTTTCTTTATTCATAGGTTTTTAATTACATCTTTAATTTCATGTTGATTAATATTTTATTTAGGATATTATATCTTCTTGATTCAGTTTTAGTAATTCATATGTATCTAGGCATCTATCCATTTCTTCTTGCATTTTCCATTTATTAGAATACAAGTTCTCAATGTAGATATAGATGATCTGGATTTCTGCAGGGTCTGTTATAATTTCATTCTTTTCAATCCTGATTATTAGTGGATATGAGTGTTTTGTTTCCTTTTTTTCATAAGATTGGATAAGGGTTTGTCAGTTTTATTTAATCTTTCAAAGAGCCAACTCTTCATAGATTCTTTGTATTGTTCCCTTAGTTTCCAGTGCATTAATTTATGCTCTGATCATTTATCATTCCCTCCCTGATGGGAGCTTTGGGTGTGGCCTTCTCTTTTTTCTAGAAATTTGAGGTTCAATAGTAAGTTGTTTGTTTGCCCTCTCTTTTGCTGTCATGGGTTTTTACTGTGATAAATTTTTATCTTAGGATTGTTTTCATTGTGCCCTGTAAATTCTAGTATGTTGTATTGTTACATTTAATTGTAGAAACTGTCTAATTTGTTCTTTAATTTTTATCTGTGACCCATTGGTTTTTCAGGAGGGTGCTATTTAATTTCATGCATTTATAAATTTCTTGCAGTTTCTTTTGCCATTGACTTCCAATTTCATTGCACTATGGTCTGATAATATGCATGGGATAATTTCAATTCCTTTGCATTTTATTTGTATTCTATGAGCTAGTCGATGGTCTGCTTTGGAGAACGTCCCATGTGCAACTGAGAAGAATGTGTATTCTGATGTTGTGGGCATCAGAATCTATTAAGACATTGTCTATTTGTTTAAAAGTTTAGTTCACCTCTAATATTTCATTGGGTTTTTGTCCGGTTGATTTTTTTTTTTTTTTTTTTTTTTTTTTGAACCAGGGATTGAATTCAGGCCCTTGCACTTGCCAGAGAAGCACTTATTCCGCTGAGCCATCTCCCCGGCCCCTAGTTGATATTTTTGCGACATTGAGGTATTGAGATCCCTCAATACAATTGTATTAGTGCTATCTGATTTTTCATGTTCATTAATACTTGTTTCATATAGTTGGGTGGACTGGTATTTGTTGCATATATATTTATGACTGTTACTGCTTCCTCTTGGATTGTCCCAAGGATATAGGGACTTTATCTTTCTTAATCAGTCTGGCTTGAAATTCACTTTGTCTGCAAATAGAACAGCTACCCCTGCACTTTTCTACTTTCTTGTTGTGTGGAGCATTGTTTTCCTGTGACTTTCAGTCTATGAATTTCTGTTTTTGAATTAAATATATATGTGTGTATATATATAATTTTATGTACAACATGTTGGATCTTTCTTCTTGATCTATTCTGCAGTCTGTGTCTTTTGGTTGGTGAATTGAGACCATTAACATTGATGATAACTGATAATATATTGACTTATCTTATCTTTGTCATATTATTTTCTTGTTATTGTTGTCCTCTCTTTTTCTTCCCTTCTGTTTATTTGCCTTGCCTGGTGAATTCCTTCTGTTGGGGTTTGTGGAGTTAAAATCCTTATTGTCACTTTCTGGAATGTCCTTCAAAACATTTTGGAGTGCTGGTTTGGTGTTCTTAAACTTCCTTAGGTCTGGGCTGGCCAAATACCTCAGTACATTAAAGTGTCTGCAAGCAGGCGCAGGGGCCGGGGGTTTGAGACTGGGCATGCTGGCGCAAACCTGTAATCCCAGTTCTTGGGTGGCTGTAAACAGGCGGATCACTACGAGTCCAGTCTAGTAGTGAGACCCTGAACACCCTGTAGACCTTTCCCTAAAAATACAAAAAAACAAAAACAAACAAAACCAATTTCCTTAGGTCTTCTTTGTCACGGATCTTATTGCTACATCAGTTTTGAAAGATAATTCTGTGGGGTATATCAGTCTGTGTTTGGAGGTTTTCCTTAGAGTTTGAAATTAATCACTGTAGCACTTACTGTTGAGAAGTCAGCTGTGATTCTAATACACTGTCTTTTATAGGTGCTTTCTTTTCTCTAACAGCTTTTAAAATTCTATTCCTATGTTGAATTTCAGGAATCTTGACTGGTATGTCTGGCTATCACCGACATAACAGATTTTTTTTATCATGGCTAATTGGAGTTCTATATGCCTCATTTAACTGTACATCAAATTCTTTTTCCCTGCTAGGAATGTTTATTGCCATAACATCTATGGACAGTTTTATTTTTCTATCATTTGTGCTATCTCCTGCTTTTCCATTGACTCTAATCAATTTTGTTTTTCTTCTTTGCCTCATCTAGCAGCTGCTGTATTGATTTCTCATGGTCCTTTGCTATGATTAAGAAATCTTTCTTTTCATGATCACTAACTGCAAGTCTGTCTTCTATATCTGAAATTCTGTCCTCACAGTAGCTTAATCTTTTATGGATACTTTCAGTGCAATTTTTATTCTCCTGGATATCTGCTTAAATCTGCCTTATGGATTCCATTTCTTTCCTATGTTGAGCATTCATGGCCTCCATACTTTTATCAGCTTTTTTATTTGTGTCTGCTCTAGACTCATTAAACATGGTTTTCATTTTGGACACCATCTCTACAGTTACCCTAGAAATTATTTCTGATCTGATGTTTTTCTAGAGCCTCATTCTGTTGCTTTGTTGTTCCTACTTCAGTGAGGTCAGGTGGGTGGCTGTCAGATTGCCCCTCCTCATTGCTCCCTGGGTTTGTCTTTGGTGAACTGGATGTCTGGGGTTGCATCTTGTTGAAGTGTCCTCTCATTTTCTTTGTTTCTATCTTTATGTATTTTTTTTTAATTCCTTGGTTGATGTTCTAAAATGTCTTGCTTTGAAGTAGATTGATTTATACAGCAAGGACTTTCTACAGAACTTTTGAATTTGAGGCCCCACCCTCATAAAATGGCAAATGCATTATTTATAAAATTTTATTTTTAGGACTTTGCTAATAAATTTTTCCTTCTATTTTTCACAGCATTTACAATAGTCAGGATTTTTATGAAGTCTATGCTAATGGTCTTTTTAGGAGAAAGAAGTAAATTACAGCTGTGACCAGTAGATATGCATGCATATGTTCTTTAATTCATATTGACCCAATGTCTGCATCTGAGGTTAGCAAGCAAAACAGTATTCCCTTACTTATTAAGTATTAGGTAAAGAAAAATAATTGCTCTAAAAATAATGAGGTTCTTTGTTAGAATCCCCAAAAAAGAAAAAACCTGTGTAATTCTTAACTATGGTTAGGTTCTTGAGTTGAATACATTTAGAAAATAAAGTAGAATCTAGTCTGAACTATTAGATAAGAACTTGAGTTAATGACAGAAGTAAGTTCAACTTAGAGCAGTTGAATTACCTGTTTATCTCTCCCACAAATCTTCATTTTATAGCCATATAAAATATCCTTATTATGTGTCAATCTTGAATTGAAGTTAGCTTGGAACTACTAAATACCAGAACACAGATGATTTCTAATTTCCTAAAAATGTAAAAATCACAACCTGCCTCTGTTACTGCATGCTGCAGAGTCCATCAGAAAGGATTCCTGCCGGGGAGATAGCTCAGTAGAGTAAGTGCTTGCCTGGCAAGCACAAGATCCTGAGTTCAATCCTCAATACCTCAAGAAAGGATTCCTGTGGCTCTATGATTTTCCCAGAATGCCCTCACCAAAATTGAAAATCTGCAATATTTTGACAGATGTCTTCTCGTAACTAAAACTGTAGCCATTATTGGTACTATCTGATTGATCTTTAAAAGATAATGTTAAGTTTTACATATGTTGAAGCACTTAGTCATGTAAAAATTTAATACCTATATCTAATTATTTAGATCATACAAGTGGTGTTAAAAGCAGTTATCCTCCAGTTTTATCTGCATAGATAAATCAAAAGAAGTAAATTTTTTTTCATCTAGATTATTCTTTATAGGGAATTTCATTCCTTGCAGACATAGTATGAGGCACAACAAAATTGACACTGTACAAAAGAACTAAAATAGAATTCACATCATATTTTATCTGGAAAATCAGGTATTAAACATAATTGCGAAACCCAACTCTACTCATGTTTAGTTCACTCAAATATCTGACAGAATTATGTGGTATAGTACTGAAATTTTTTTTTATTTTTCACTTGGTTTTGGTAATTTTAGGAAATTCATACAAATTTCAAGCTGGCAGTAGGATGAATGCAATGCTGTGGTTTAAGCATTTGAGTGCAGCCTGCCAAAGCAACAAACAACAGGTGAGATTTCTCTTTAATTCTCAGTCCACTACTTAGGCAGGCACAGGGACTGTGGTTCAATCCCTGTGCCGGGCCCATCCCCTGGGATGCGCTGAAACATATATATAAAATAGTCCACATTTTTCATATTATCCATATCTGTTTAGCAAGCAAAGCATTATTACTGAACTTACTAAGCATTGGGTGAAGAAAAACAATTGCTTTGAAAACTTAGGAAACTATTGAAGAGTTCCAAAAAGACATAAAGTTTTCTTCATGACCTGTGAAAATGGAGTTTTTATTCTTTTTATGGTTTACAGCAATTGGTAAGACATGAAGTTCTCATTTTAGTGAGGAGCTAGACAGTAAGCAAATGATAAAATTTCAAGTCATAGGAGCTATATAATATAGAAAACAAAATAAAATATTGTTCTATTCTAGATATTCTGTATCTAAAGTTATGAGAGTAGAGCCAAATAGATGGAAAAATATACCTAAATATGGGTGGCCTCACAGTAAATCTCCTGAATGAGAAAGTAAAAGGAACTCTTGAAGACATAGGGGTAGGCAAAGAGTTCATGAACAAAAATCAAATCTCACAGGTAATATTTGAACGAATTAACAACTGGGACCTCCTCTTATTGAGAAGTTTTTGCATGTGAAAAGAAACTACCAACAAAGTGAAAAGACAACTCACAAATTGGGAAAAAATCTTGACTAATAAGCACTCAGATAAAGGTATGCTCTCTAGAATTTATGAAGAACTAAAAAACATTAGGGCCCTAAAACTTAAAGACCCAATCCAGAAATGGGCATCCTAGATGAACACACACTTCTCATAAGACGAAATTAAAAAAGCAAATAAAGATATGAAAAAATGTTCCACATCACTGGCCATCCATGAAATGAAAATTAAAACAGCAGTTGAGATACCATCTCACCCCAGAAAGAATGGCTGTCATAAACAAATCAACCAACCAACAACAAATGATGGAGAAGCTGTGGGGAAAAAGGAACCCTTCTCTATTGCTGGTAGAAATGTAGACTGGTGCAACCATTATGGAAATCAGTATGGAGACTCCTTAAAAATCTAGGACTGGAAATCCCATTCAAACCAGCTATCTCCCACTGGGAATTTTGCCGGAGGCACTCAAATCATTGTATCATAGTGATATATGTGTACCTATGTTTATAGCAGCACAATTTGCGATAGCCAAATCTTGGAAACAACCACGATGCCCATCAGCAGAGGAATGGATGAAAAAGATGTGATATTTTTATACGATGGAGTATTACTCAGCTATAAAGACTAATAAACTCAGGGCCGGGGAGATGGCTCAGTAGAATAAGCGCTTGCCTGACAAGTGCGAGGTCCTGAGTTCAATCCCCGGTTCCGCCAAAAAAACAAAAAATAAAGATAAACTTGAAGCTTTTATATTAAAGTTTATGCCAAGTGAAGATATAAGTGAAATAAACCAGACCCATATGTGTAAATATCATATAGTCTCCCTAATGTAAGAACTCAAAAGAAGAAATAAAAATAGGTATAACACAATTAAAAAGAAAGCAAGAACTTAAGATTAGACAGTGAAGACAGAGCAAGGAAAAAAGCTAGGAAACATGACAGGGGCAAAGTCATATATTGTATGCACAAGATGGTTACAGCAATGATCCTGAGAATCTTCAGCAGGTTTCTGAAAGTATAGGTTAATTGGTAGGATTCTCACCCTGACTAACTATATATGCTGATACCTGTGAACTAAGCAACTGCACAGAAGATAGCAGCATGTAATACTAGGGTCATGCTTGGAATTGCCAGTCATTCTGGTCTTCTAAATATGTACTGTTTGTCATGTCATACCAATTACTGCCATACTGTTTGTTTTTAAAAAAGAGGGGGGGTAGTAAATGAAAACAAGAGACAAGAAAAAAAAAGTTTTAGGACTGTCACACTACAATGCTGTATATGGTTAGATTTCTAAATTTCTGTGTAAAAATATGTAATTGTTTATTCCTATTTTAATATTTATTTTTTAACTTTTTCCTTCATATTCTGTAGCGACTTAAAGTTTAACATAATCAATACTTGATGAAAAATACCTGTTCCATGTTATGTCTAACATAACATGGGTTAACAACTTAGGTTTGCAGACCAAAAATTAGAGAAAAAGAAGGGCTGCAAGGACAGCCAACATTTTGGCCCTAGCCTTTCAAGGTCAGTAAGGACTCAGGATATAGGAGAACCTGTACTGTAACATCCTATAACTCAGTGATATCCCCAATTTTCTAATCAAGGAGGTTATGGGGCCACAGAGGAATGTAATTGATGATGTAGAGTGTGCCTAATGAGAGTCACATAGAGAGAAAACATTCTCTCAGGCTTTCACAGAGAGCAAATTGGTCAAGCAATGGCCATGACTCATCCACATGGCTGACACTGACAAAGATCTACAAACTGCGGTACAGGGTTTCAGGGTAAATCCTGAGGGGGTTTGACTGACTTTGTCAGATACAAAAGCTCCATTTCTTTTTATATAGGTCTTGCTTTATCTTGATCTTTTAGCCATCCAGCAGAAAAATCATAAAAACAAAGTATAAAAATTTAGTAAAGCCATATTAATATGCTTAGTTGTAAAAGGCTCAAGTCAACAACTTCTGACATTGCCAGTCCTATGGATAATGCACTACTATTATGGACTACTGGGCTCTATTGGAATATTTTGCTGAATTCACGCACCTACAATATTTAAATGGCAATAGAATACCCATCTCTGACATAACGAAACAAAAAAAGGACACAAATGAAGGACCATTTTGTCTCTGTATATTCAAAATAGGATAGATATACTGCTACTTTCTCTTAATTCAATGAATAGAAAGATTTGTACTAATAGTGTTTGTGGACAGGATATCATGTCTGCATCTTGTACTATGAATAACCACTAAGAAGACA